TATAATGGAACTGTATTGAATGGTGTGTAGTATATCATTCTGCTTATATTTCTAGGCAAGTACAGATTTAATTTCCTATATACATGAATACAGCTATACTCTCCATTTTTAGAATATCTTTTAAAAATGTTTATTTATTTATTTTGAGAGAGAGAGTATGAACAGTGGAGGTGCAGAGAGAGAGGGAGAGAGAGAAGGAATCCCAAGCAGGCTCTGTGCTGATGCGAGGCTCCAACACATGAACTGTGAGATCATCATGACCTGAGCTGAAGCGAGGAGTCAGATGTTTAACTAGGGGCGCCACGCAGGTGCTCCTAGAATAACCTTTTCATTGGAGTAAAACAGTCATGCAGAGATGTATACAATCAGAAACTGATGACTTTTCCTTCATCAAATATTCTTCCACATCAATTTTATTTATTTTATTTTGAATTTATTTTATTTATTTATTTTTCTTTTAATTTAAATCCAAGTTAACATATAGTGTAATAATAAATTCAGGAATAGAATTTAGGGATTTATCACTAAATATGACACCCAGTGCTCATCCTCTACAAATGTCATCCTTAAAGCCCCTTGCCCCTTTGGCCCTTCTCACCACCCAACATCCCACCAGCAACCCTCAGTCTGTTCTCTATATTTGAGAGTCTCTTATGTTTTGTCCCCCTCTCTGTTTTTATATTATTTTTCTTCCCTTCCCTTATGTTCATCTGTTTTGTATCTTAAATTCCACTTATTGGTGAAGTCAAATGATATTTGTCTTTCTCTAACTAATTTCACTTAGCATAATACACTCTAATTCCATCTATGTTGTTGCAAATGGTAAGATTTAATTCTTTTTGATTGCGGAGCAATATTCCATTGTGTACACACACACACACACACACACACACACACACACACATCTTCTTTATCCATTCATCAATTGATGGACATTTAGGATCCCTTCATATTTTGACTATTATTGATAGTGCTGCTAGTAGTGCAATTGCTGGGTCATATGGTAATTCTATTTTCAATTTTTTATTTTTTTATTTTTTTTATTTATTTCTAGGAGAGAGAGAGACAGCGTGAAGAGGGGAGGGTCAGAGAGAGAGGGAGACACAGACTTGGAAATAGGCTCCAGGCTCTGAGCTGGCAGTCAGCACAGAGCCCGACGCGGGGCTTGAACCCACGAACCGCGAGATCATGACCTAAGCGAAAGTCAGACGCTTAACCGACTAAGCCACCCAGGCGCCCCTCTATTTTCAATTTTTTGAGGAACCTCCATACTGTTTTCCAGAGTGGCTGCCCCAGTTTGCATTCCCACCAACAGTGCAAAAAGGTTCCTCTTTCTATGAATCCTAATCAACATCTTGTGTTGCCTGAGTTGTTAATTTTAGCCATTCTGACTGGTGTGAGGTGGTATCTCATCGTGGTTTCGATTTGTATTTCCCGATGATGAGTGATGTTGAGAATTTTTTTTTTTTTTTATGTGTCTGTTAGCCATCTGGCTGTCTTCTTTGGAAAAAGTGTCTATTCATGTCTTTTGCCCATTTCTCCACTGGATTATTTGTTTTTTGGGTGTTGAGTTTGATAAGTTCTTTATAGATTTTGGATACTAACCCTTTATCTGATATGTCATTTGCAAATATCTTCTCCCATTCTGTCTGTTGTCTTTTAGTTTTGCTGATTATTTCCTTTACCATGCAGAAGCTTTTTATTTTGATGAGGTCCCAATAGTTCAATTTTGCTTTTGTTTCCCTTGCCTCTGGAGACATGTCAAGTAAGAAGTTGCTGTGGCTGAAATCAAAGAGGTTGTTTTCTTTCTTCTCCTCTAGGATTTTGATGGCTTCCTATCTTATGTTTAGGTTTTTCATCCATTTTGAGTTTATTTTTGTATATGGTGTAAGAAAGTTATCCAGGTTTATTCTTCTGCATGTCACTGTCCAGTTTTTCCAACACCATTTGCTGAAGAGACTTTTTTTCCATTGGATATTCTTTCCTGCTTTGTCAAAGATTAGTTGGCCATAAGTTTGTGGGAGAACCCATTTCTGGGTTTTCTGTATCTGTTTTTATTCCAGTACCATACTGTCTTGATGATTACAGCTTTGTAATACAGCTTGAAATCTGGAATTGTGATGCCTCCAGCTTTGGCTTTCTTTTTCAGGATTGCTTTGGCTATTAGGGGTCTTTTCTAGTTCCGTACAAATGAGGATTGTTCTGGTTCTATGAAAAATGCTGGTGGTAATTTGATAGGGATTGCATTAAAAGTGTAGGTTGCTTTGGGTATTATAGGCATTTTAACAGTGTTTGTTCTTCCAATCCATGAGCATGAAATGCTTTTCTATTTTTTTGTGTGAATGTATACTTCAATTTCTTTCAGAGGCTTTCTATAGTTTTCCATGTACAGATTTTCACTTCATTGTTTTGGTTTATTCCTAGGTATTTCATGGGTTTTGGTACAATTGTAAATGGGATCAATTCTTTTTTTTTCTGCTACCTCATTACTGGTGTATAGAAATGCAACCACTTTCTGTACATTTATTTTATATCCCATGATTTTGCTTAATTCATGGATCAGTTCTAGCAGTTTTTGGTGGGGTCTTTTGGGTTTTTCACAGACAGTATCATGTCATCTGCAAAGAGGGAAAGTTTGACTTCCTCCTTGCTGATTTGGATGCCTTCTATTTCTTTGTGTTGTCTGATTGCTGAGGCTAACACTTCCAACACTATGTTGAATAACAGTGGTGAGCATGGACATGCTTGCTGCATTCCTGACCTTAGGAGGAAAGTTTTCCCCTTTGAGGATGATATTAGTGATGAGTCTTTCATATATAGCTTTTATGATCTTCAGGTATGACCTTTCTATCCCTACTTTCTTGAGGGTTTTTATCAAAAAATGATGCTGTATTTTGTTGAATGCTTTTTCAGCATCTATTAAGAGGATCATGTAGTTCTTATCTTTTCTTAATGTGATGTATCATGTTGACTAATTTGCGGATATTGAACCATACCTGTATCCCAGGAATAATTCAGACTTGATCATGGTGAATAATTCTTTTAATGTATTGTTGGATCCATTTTGCTAGTATCTTGTTGAGAATTTTTTAATACATGTTCATCAGGGAAATTGGTCTGTAATTCTTTTTAGTGGGGTGTTGGGCTGGTTTTGAAATCAAGGTAATGCTGGTAATCAAACTAGAATGAGTTTGGAAGTTTTCCTTCCATTTCTATTTTTTGAAACAACTTCAAGAGAATAGGCGTCAACTCTTCTTTAAATGGTAGAATTCCTCTGGAAAGCCATCTGGCCCTGGACTCTTGTTTGTTGGGAGATTTTTTTCCACATCAAGAGTTTTTAAATGTTTTTATTTATTTTTGAGAGACAGAGCATGAGCTGGGGAGGGGCAGAGAGAGAGGGAGACACAGAATCCGAAGCAGCTCCAGGCTCTGAGTTGTCAGTACAGAGCCCGGAGTGGGGCTCGAACTCACAGATGGTGAGATCATGACCTTAGCCGAAGTTGGACACTTAACTGACTGAGCCACCCAGGCACCCCAATCCACATCATTTTTAAAAGACTTCAAAGGCATTCCATCCCATAGATGTAACAATTTAGATAACTAATCCCTATTGTAGGATTCTTTTCTAGTCTTCTCATCCCTGACTACACATTTAAATTTGCACCTATTTCCAATTATTCTTTAGAATAAATTCCTTAGAGGCAGAATTTCTGGGTCAAAAGCCATGTGCATTAAAAAAAATACCTTTTGATTTTAGACTAGTTTTAGGTTTACAGAAAAACTACAAAGGTATTACAGACCGTTCCTATGTACCTCATACCCAGTTTTCTCTATTTTTAACATCTTACATTCATATAGAACATTGGTCACAATTAATGAACCAATATTGAGACATTATTATTATTAACCAAAGTCCATAGTTTATCCAGATTTCTTTAGTTTTTGCCTAATATCCCTTTTCTATTCCAGTTTTTCATCTAGTAGATCACATTACATTTCATTGTCCCATCTCCTCAGGCTCCTCTTGGCTGTGACAATTTCTAGTCTTTTCTTGACTTTTTTGACCTTAACAATTTTGAGGAATTCTGGCCAGGCATTCTGTAGAATGTCCCTCCATTGGGATTTGTCTGATATGTTTCTCTTCCTAAGACTGGGGTTATGGGGTTTAGAAGGAAAGTACCATAGGGATAAAACGACACTTTCATTATACATCTAGCCCACAAACGATCAACATGATTTACCCCTGTTCATGTTAACCTTGATCACCCAACTGAGGTAGTGCTTGCCTAGCTTCTCCACTATATCCACTTTCCCTCTTTCCATACTGTACTCTTTAGAAGGAAGTCAGTAGCACAGACCACGTACATGGGGTTGGGAGCTATACTTCAGGGTAGATGATCTAAATAAATTATTCGGAATTCTTTTGCACCAGAGATTTATCTCCTTATCCTCGTTTATTACTTTATTCTTGTCAATATTCATATCATTAGTTTATTTACATCAGTATAGACTTTTGGGTATCAAGTTTTTACTTAAAATCCAATAGAACTTTACTGGTTTTGTTGTTCAAGGAGTTCGTGTTTATAAGACTCTGAGTAATTCACTACAAAGCTATCAGACTAACGGTGGTACCAACTCTCACAGTTAAGACTTAAGATCCATTTCTCCTCAATTTCACACGCCCTTTATAAAAGTAGGTCAGCAAACAAGAGCGAGGCCGAGGTGCCTCCCTAGCGCCCAATTTCCTTACGCCCTCAAGGCAGGTGAAGCCAGCCTGAGGAGGGGTGCCCCTCCCCTGATGCGGACCTTATACCTTGCCCAGCCCGCCCTTAACCGCCGACACTCGGTGACCCCAACTCCTTCTCGGGGTTTCTCCAAGGCCCCGCCCTCCGTGGGGCGGAAGTGGGCGCGGCCACGGACCGGAAGCGCCTGGCCGGGGCGGGCCCTCTTAAGCAGCAACCCCACCCACTCCTCTCCACCACCGCCCCACCCCTCCGGCCCAGACCGGAAATGAGGTCAGAAAGGGAAACCCCGGCGGGGAGACTGGGCCCCAAAAGCGGCGGCCATTGGAGGTGGCTGCTGCAGCTGGTGAGGGGGAGGAGTGGGTTGAGAGGGTCGGGGTCCAAGGGGCCGGCGCCAGCGGGAATCCCGGCTCCCGGCAGAGTCCGAGGGGCCGTGTGCGCCTTGGGGCTGCGAAGGTTGGCGGGAGGGCGAGGGTGTCTGGGCCTTGTTTTTCAGGGCCCAACGCCCCCATCCTGGAGAATAAGGTTCGGGCGTCTCCGGGGCGACAGTCCCCTCTTCTCCTTTCTTCTTTCTGGCGCTTTCGGGCAGGCGACAGCTGGAGGGCTTGGTGTCCCGAGCCGTGCTCGCCCTAGTCCTCGGGGGCGGGCCGGGAGCTTGGAGGGAGAGCCCTTCGAAACCAGCTTTTTCTCACATATGTGGCCATGTTGCGACCCCTGATCACTGAGGGAGCTTAGTCACCAGGACTTAATTTTGGCAGTTTCTGCCCGAGCGGGAAGGGCTGAACCCCTGCCCCGGTGAGCCCGAATGAGAAGTTGCTTCCTGCCTCCTGTCTTTTCCCCGCGCCAGCCCATCCCCCGCCTTACCCCAGCTCCTCGCAACCCGGTTTTTCTCGCCCACCGTGCCCCCTGCCTCTTTTTACCTCTGTCCGTTTTCCCTGCTTTTCTATGCGTAACTTAGCCTTTCCTCTCCTCGAGTGCTTGCTGGACAAGGGGGTTCTCTCGGAGAATGCACCCGGGAGTGAAGGTGTGGGAAGCTCAAGGTTTTTCTGTCCCCTACAGTTCGACTTGCAGTTGTTTAGCTAGGAAAGGATTCTGCACAGACGACTGCGGCTTGTTCTGTAACTTTGTTCCACGTTAAAGTATAGAGTTCTCCCTGAGCTTTTAAACCAGTAATTCTATATTAAAGAAGTAGGTGTAGATGTGCTGTCCTCACTTCTGTTTTGGTCTTACAGGCAGTTGCCTCCCAAACCTGTCATGGCGTTTTAAGCTACTTCTATTGCTTAAAGGGACGTGGTCGTTTTGTGTCGTGTGGCTTTTGACGCTTTGAGACGTTTTGTTTGCTTGGTGGTTTTGGAACTAGGTGTCCCCATTGCTCCCATCAGTGTGGCAGATAAGCCAGACTATGGTTTTCTTCCCTTTTAATTCGTTGGCATGGGGACAGCATGAAAATAGGTTTTACAAAGTCCTTTGCAGAATGTAAACTGCATGAACGGAAATATGGTCTGAGAGTGGCGCCACACCGTTTTAAATTCTAATTCTGGACTTGAAATACTTTGGGTTTAACAAGGGCTAGGGAAGAGTGCGAATTTAATATGTACTTAGCAAGTTGTTGTACAAATTTTATTAGACACGTCCCTTTAAAAGGGCATTTTGAAAATTGCTCCTACTGCTCTCATCCTTTGGAAGGTTTGCCTATGAAGTGACCCCTGAATGAGGGTTTGACAAGAATGAAAAGGAAAATTTAGAAAGCAGTTGACTAGAAATCATAGACACTCCACTTATCTCTTTCATTTCAACCCGTTATATCTTATATCCTGTGCTTGTGTAATTGGTACTAAAGCACATAATTAGGGGAATCACTTAATTTTCTGAAGGATGGTAGAAGAGTTTAAAAGTTGCTAATTGTTTTTGTTTATTTTTGAGAGAGATAGGAAGAGCAAGTGGGGGAGGGACAGAGAGAGAGGGAGAGGGAGAGGGAGACGCAGAGTCCAAAATAGGCTCCAGGCTCTAAGCTGTCAGCACAGAGCCAGACACGGGGCTCCAACCCAGGAACCGTGAGATCATGACCTGAGCCTAAGTTAAGTCAGAAGCCCAACTGACTGAGCTACCCAGGCCCCAAAAGTTGCTAATTGTTAAAAAAACATGTATGACATACTTGACAAATTGCCTTCCCTGCTAGCTTGCAGGTGGTAGTTAAGACCAGAATGGGTGCAGACTTAGTCTGTTTTCTCCATTCAGGGTACAAAGGTGGGTCACTGTGATGTCTTGGATCACTAAAAGTGCAAGCAGGCTTCCCTAAATAGTGTGTCAGGAAGTTGTCTTCTTCTTTCCACAAGCATTCTTATTAGTGACCCCAGACCATAGCACAGTTCTTTTTCCATGGTTTTGAAGTTGTGTGTTCTGCTCCTATCTAATGAGACATTCTGTAATCTTTTTGGATTTTATTACTATGTAATTTAGTGACGGGTTTAATTGGGGGAAAGGGGAAGGATTTATTTCCCTGGGTTTGCTTGTTTTTGCTAATATCCTAGTTGTGATCTGGTGAGTGTTTGATTTTTTGTGCTTAAGAACATTTGCCTTCAGGCACTTAACAAGGGCCAAACACCTATTTTTATTGGTCCATGCTCTTTTAAGGATGGTAGGAACAGAGTCTTAAGTGTAGCCAGATAAAAGGTGAGTTTATTTTCTGTAGATATGGTGGGTATTGCACTGCCATGATCTATTTTATAAAATTATTCTAAAACGACAGATCCTATTCAGGCTTTCATTTTCTTTTTTCTTTTTCTGGGCTTTCTTTTGGCAGATGTGGCCTCATGGATGAGCTGGTGCATGACTTAGCCTCAGCCTTGGAGCAGACGTCTGAGCAGAATAAGCTTGGTGAGCTGTGGGAGGAGATGGCCCTGAGCCCCCGGCAGCAGAGGCGGCAGCTTCGCAAAAGGAGAGGCCGGAAGCGCCGCTCAGACTTCACCCACCTGGCAGAGCATACCTGCTGCTACAGTGAGGCCTCTGAGTCAAGTCTCGATGAGCCCATTAAGGATTGTCGAGAAGTGGCCCCTGTTGCCAATTTTAGTGACTCTGATGACACGATGGTAGCCAAACGGCACCCAGCTCTCAATGCCATTGTTAAGAGTAAGCAACACTCTTGGCATGAATCTGACTCCTTCACTGAGAACGCACCATGTCGGCCCCTCCGGCGCCGGCGGAAAGTGAAGCGAGTGACCTCAGAGGTGGCTGCCAGCCTTCAGCAGAAGCTCAAGGTGTCAGATTGGAGCTATGAGAGAGGCTGCAGGTTCAAGTCTGCTAAGAAGCAGCGTCTGTCCCGCTGGAAGGAGAATACTCCCTGGACCTCATCAGGTCATGGGTTGTGTGAATCAGCAGAAAATAGGACTTTCCTAAGCAAAACAGGAAGGAAAGAAAGGATGGAGTGTGAAGCAGATGAACAAAAACAGGGCTCTGATGAGAACATGTCAGAATGGTGAGATCTCCCTTACTGTCAAAGATTTCCCTGGTTATTTTTACTCCAGGTACAAATTCACAGTCGTGATGAGTTTAACTTTCTTTCAGAACCAGCCACTGTACTATTGACTTTGTAGCCCTCCTTTAACCAATCAGCTAGGGTTTATCTCTAGCTTTTTAAAGTACGTTCACATTCTATTTCCCTATGTCAAGTAAGCTATATATAATGAAACACGTTTGTTTCGAGAAATTATTTAAAATATGTATCTCACATGCATAACCAAGAATTTCATTTTAAAAACAACTTATTGCTGTTCATGCCATGTAGTTCACACATCGATATTGTTAGAACCAGAGTCTTAGTAGAGGCTGGGTGTGTGTGTGTGTGTGTGTGTGAGAGAGAGAGAGAGAGAGAGAGAGAGAGAATATGAGAATGCTGGTGCCAGGCACATGGAGTTTGTGTATGTTTCTGGTAAGCTTCCTTTACCCAGTAGGAGTCTTGACTTCAGATGCTGGGGTATAATTCTGTTCTCTGCTCCTTACAGTTTGACTCTGTTGAGTTTACTTTCTATGGCTGACATTCAGGTTGTCTGAAGCACATGGTGGGGCTTTGAAAATAACAGTATTGAATCCCATTAGTCTTCAGGCAGATGTCATTGAGCCAGAAAGATTTGTATCTATTGGATGCATCTTTAAAATGTCAGTGTAGTTTTTGGTGACTTTGTTTTTTACATCTCAGATAGCTCTAGGAGCATTGATAATCCCCACCTTGATACTTTAATATTAATGTGTGACATCTCTTTCTCAAGGAGGATGCTCTTGGTGGGTTGTTTGGTTTTGTTTTTAATGATTATTTATTTAGAGAGAGTGGGAATGGGGGAGGGGCAGAGAGAGAGAGGGAGAGGAGAAAGAGTTTCCCAAACAGGCTCCACACTGTCAGCTCTGAGCCCACCTCAGGGTTCAGTCTGATGAACTGCAACATCATGACCTGAGCTGAAATCAAGAGTCCGTTTAGCCCACTGAGGCATCCAGATGGCCCTCTTGGTGTTTTGAATGGGGGCAGTTCCTTGTGCTGAGAGACTGCCCCATGCTTTACAGGATATTTGCCATCTCTGCATTTTTCCCAGCCCCTTCCTTGTATCAAACCAAATGCCTCTGTGGGTGCTGCTTGTGGGCTGGTAGTCCCAGTTGAATGTTCAGAACTCCACTGTATGGCAGACACTGCTATTTGTACTTTATAGAGGAGGGGATGGAGGTTAATAGCATTTAGATAATTTGCCCAAGGTCACCCAGTGGCAAAACTAGAAATCAAATCTGATTCCAAAGTTCATACTAAACCTCCATGTTTTGCTGCCCTTTGAGTTTGTCTTTTCCATGGCTCTTTCTGTCTCATCTTAACTTTTACAGCTGTAGAATATGTGACCTTTCATAGGACCTTGCTTCTCAAGTTTGTCTGAAAAACAAAGACATAAATCTTAGGAACTGTGAGGTGAGGCTGAGTCAGTAGAAGGAAAGGCTGCTTAGGTCTTTATGCCCATACCTTTTTCATGGGTGGTTTTTAGTCCAACTTGAACAATTTTTCTCACTAACTTTATACTTGTAGGTCTACATAACTGGGTAGGCTTATAATGTGGCTTCCCTAATTTTCCTCTACTGTATATCCTAAGATCTATTTACCCAATGTATATGTATAATTTTGGGTTATAAGGGTTTTTTATTAAAAAAAATTTTAAATGTTTTTTTTCTGAGAGAGAGGGATAGACAGAGCACAAGTTGGGGAGGAGCAGAGAAAGAGGGAGACAGAATCCGAAGCAGGCTCCAGGCTCTGAGCTGCCAGCACAGCTCGACGTGGGCTCACACTCATGAACTGTGAGATCATGACGTGAGCCGAAGTCAGACACTTAACCGACTGAGACACCCAGGCGCCCTTATCATGCTGTTTTCAATCAAACAAATGTTTAGTCAATTTACAGCCTTTCACAATATCAAAACTCTCAGTTGAGGTGTTCAAGTTTGTGTCAATACCGAACACATATTCCAAATAATTTACTGTTGAGAATCGTGATTTTTTTTTCATTTGAGAAAGAGAGTGAGAGCGTGCGTGAGTGGAGAAGAAGAGCAGGGGTAAAGAGAGAGAGAACCTCAGGCAGGTTCCATGCTCAGCATGGAGCTTGGTGCAGGGCTCGGTCCCATGACCCTGGGATCATGATCTGAGCTGAAATCAAAAGTTGGTCACTTGACCGACTGAGTCACCCAGGTGCCTTGAGAATAGTGATTTTTAAGAATTATTTTTCACAGTGATAGCTTGTATATATTTCTTCCCCAGACTATTTGTGAAATTACAACATAATTGTAAATGAGAGACTCTGAACTCTGTCTACTCTTAATCTAATAGTCCATGTGCGGTTCCAAATGCAGTCTGTAATCTAGTAGAGAGGCGTTTATAGTTCCTTCTTCCCTCAGACGCATCCATTGCACATTATAGTCAGGTTGTGATAATAAACATTCTAGTTATCTGAGAGCCTGGATAAGTTGAAATAGGCAGCAATTCATAGGAAATTCTTCTTTTCTTTTTTTTGTTTTTTTGGATATCAAGTGTTGGACATTTATTTTGTTTTATTTTTTTTACAAATAGTTTATTGTCAAGTTGGTTTCCATATAACACCCAGTGCTCATCCCCACAAGTGCCCTCCTCCATGCCCATCTCTCCCCTCCCCCTCCACACCCATCAGTCCTCAGTTTGTTCTCAGTTATCAAGAGTCTTTCATGGTTTGCCTCTCTCCCTCTCCTCCACTATTTCCCCCCTTCTTCTCCCCCTTGGTCCTCCGTTAAGTTCCTCGTAATCCTCCTATACGTGCAAACATATGGTATTTGTCCTTCTCTGCCTGACTTATTTCACTTAGCATAACACCCTCAAGGTCCATCCATGTTGCTACACATGGCCAGATTTCATTTTTTCCTCATTGCCATGTAGTATTCCATAGTATAGATAAACCACATCTTCTTGATCCATTCGTCCATTGATGGACACTTAGGCTCTTTCCATGTTTTGGTTATTGTTGAGAGTGCTGCTATGAACATTGGGGTACATGTGCTCCTGTGCATCAGTACTCCTGTATCACTTGGGTAAATTCCTAGCAGTGCTATTGCTGGGTCTTAGGGGAGTTCTATTGTTAACTTTTTGAGGAACCTCCACACTGTTTTACAGCGGGGCTGCATCAGTTTACATTCCCACCCAACAGTGTAGTAGGGTGCCCCTTTCTCCACATCCTCGCCAGCATCTAGAGTTCTCTGATTTGCTCATTTTAGCCACTCTTACTGGCATGAGGTGGTATCTCAGTGTGGTTTTGATTTGTAGGAAATTCTTATTTTCAAATTGAGAAGACCCAGTTGGGCTATCTGCCTGGTACAGGACCTGAGAGTTCTTTTAAAATTTTTTTTTTTTTTTTAATGTTTATTTATTTTGAGAGAGAGTGTAAGTGGGGGAGAGGCAGAGAGTGGGAGAGAAAGAATTCCAAGCAGGCTCCACGCTATCAGCATGTAGCCTGATGTGGGGCTTGAGCTCATGAATCATGAGATCCTAACCTGAGCCAGAATCAGAGTTGGATGCTTAATGTACTGAGCCCCCCAGGCGTCCCATCAGAATTCTTTTAGTAACATAAATGCCCCAGTCCTTGTAGCTGTGAGGGAAATGAAGGTAGAATAGTAGCAGACTTAAAATGAGAACAATGCTTCTTTAGAATTTAATCATTTAGGAGTCTTAAATATGCCTTGATTTACATTGTTTCATCTGTAGTTACAAACAGAAGTGCCGTGTATTTTTTACCCCTTAATCTACTCTGTGGAGAAAGAGGGGTGACTGACTTACTCTGACTGCAAATTATGTTCAGCCTTTCTCCAGTAAGATGGAACTAAAATCTTGCCTCGATTATGAAGCATACCTTGTGAATAGGACTAGCATTAGAGTGTGTTTAAGTAGATAGTAGTTTATGATTTGGATATTATACTGTTTTGGTGAGTTGATTCTCTCAAAATTTTCTTACCTTTTTTCTGCATTAACAAATATTTTTAAGAATCTCCTTGGTTGCTCTTTCGTAAATCTGCATGGATGTGCATCTTTATTCACCTACAGAGCAAGTGTAGAACTTTACATTTTTATCAGTGGTATTGAAGATTGTCAGTATGTACGATCCAATTTGTAAAATTATTGGGATGAAGGTGATCATTAAGCTTAACTTAGCTTCGTCAGTGGATAGAATTCTTTTAAAAAATATGTGTCAGGTGTTTTAGGTTTGAAAATGTATGTCTCAGAGAACTTTATTTCTAACTTCCTTAAGTTCACTTTACTAATTAACCATGGAGTAGTTTTAAGTTTAAACAAGAATTCCTTTCACTTTTATTTTTCTGTTCTTTCTTCAATTGTACACCAACCAATCCCTCAAGAGTTCTGAGGAACTGAGAGTTGTTATGATATAATAGTTTTTTATTCCTGCAAAAACATTAGTTATTATTTTAGTAATTTTCCTGTGTATGTGTGTTCCATTCTAGAATGGAGCAATTCTTTTGTAAAATTCCTTTCTACTGTCTTTATTCATATTGCCTGTATTGCAGTTATGAAGTGATTCATAGCCTAATTTTGCTCTAGTCTTCACTAACACATCATTTATTTGTTCCCCTTAAATATAGTTTAGCTTCTTTTCTTTTCTAAGTGAATTGGTTTGGTTTTGGCCTGAAGTCTCAGTCAGGAGCCTTCCTAAGGTGATGTATTAGAGGCCGATCTCACAGGAAAGAAAATATTCCCTTCTCTTGGAAGGCAAGTGACAGAGATAGAGTGCTAAACCTCCCCCCTCCTTCTCCAGCCCACGCTGACCTTCTGCGGCCCCTTGGTGCCTCTTGTTTTCTTATTTTTATAGAAAATCAATATCCCTTCTGACACAAACAATAGCTCAGAAGCAAGAATAAATGGGAGAAAGCTGAGATCTCTGTCCATCACCTCTCACTTTACCTCCCCCAAACTCTTTAATTATGAGCATGCTTTGCTCCAGGTGTTTGTGACAGTGAACTTGCTAAATGAGGACCATTTTAACCAAAGATTGGGTGATCAGTAACCCTCTATAAGTAGTAGCTTGTTGGATCAATAGCATTCATTATTTCATGGTTAAGGTAAGTAGCCTCCTTTGCAAGTAGAGGTCATTAATCAGGGAATACTGGAAAGAATATATGTGGTAAGGTTGAGGCTGCCCTGTTTCCTATTCCGTAACTGGAGATGCTGACCAAGAGTATATTTACCATTCTTGCAGATGGTACTATTGCGTTGGACAGTACTGAATCACTAGCATAGCGTGCTTCCAAAGGTTTATGCAGAGTTCTGCTACTGTACCCTTAGGAACAACTGAGAAAGACAACTTGGGAGATGGATTTTGATACTACTGTATTTGAAGATCTGTCTCTTTAAAGAAGTGTGTTAGGATTATTCTGTGTGACTCCAGAGGATGGAGGTAGGACTGATAAAAATGGAAAGTACAAAGAGGTAGATGTTGCCTCATTATCAAATACAACATTCCAAAAATTCAAACTCTATAAAAATGAAATGAATTGTTTCACCAGGTAATGAGTTCTAGGTTGCTGAAGGGGTTCAAGCCTGGGCTTGGCGACCACTTACTGAGTTACTGTAGAGTTGGCAAGGTCACACTTCATGACCTCTAAGGTCCCTTGCAACTGAGATTCTGTCATTCTTTTCAGTCACAGCATCCTTCCAGTGCGTCATTGCAACTTCATAGTCTGAAAAACATTTGATAAACAATATCAGCTGCCCATTAAAATACTTAGGAAAACATAAAACATCGTAAACTCACATCACAAGGAACTAGGACTTAGAGTTGGCCTCTTGCCAAGATATCATCAAAGCACAAGGCTGATAGATGTGCAGTCGGAAGCCCACATCAGCAGTGCTGAGCCTGCGCCGAAGGTACAAAGTGAGACCCTTCATCCTTTCTCTGTATGTAGTCAGACCTTTGTTCAGAAGTGCAAGGTCCATTTTAGGTAGAAAATCAGGCAGCTGAAGTGTGAGCCAGCGTTGTTCAGCCTTTACAGTAGTCCCCTCTTGCCCCCAGTTCCTTTCTGTGGTTGCAGTTAACCCTCAGTCAGGTGTGGTCTGGAAGCAGATGACCACCGTCTGACATCCCTTCAGGAGGAGGAGGAGTAGCCTAACACCACATCACATGCCCACGTCATTCACCTCACCTCATCTCCTGACGCAGGCATTTTATCCTCTCACATGATCATAAGAAGGGTGAGTAGAAGATATTTTGAGAGAAAGACCACATTCATATAACTTTTATTATAGTATATTATCGTATTAATAGTTACTGCTTATCTTTTACTGTGCCTAATTTATAAAATTAAACTTAATCATAGATACATATGTATAGGAAAAAACCATGGTATATATAGGGTTAAGTACAATCTAGTTTCAGGCATCAGTGAGAGTCTTAGAACTTCTCTGCCCCAGAGAAAAAGGGATACTATACTTCCCAATCTGTATCTTTGAGTTTCTGTTTGGAGGCTCTCATTCCCGGAACATACTTGGATAAGGAATTAGTGTTTTCTCTGTGTGTATTTGTGTTTGGGGTAGGAGGCAGTCACTGCAAATTGAGTCCTGGGAAATATATTCTCCAAGAATAAAGTTTACTGTTGGCATGGGGAGAGAAGGAAAAATCACTCTTAGTGGTGCGTTCTAGAAATTGTAGTGTTTTATGTATCTTTATATATTATAGACTCTTGGAATGGGGTCACAATAAGGCAGTGAGAGTTAGGAAAAGATCCTGTCTTGGTCCCACATAGTTATATGAGGTAAAAGCCTACCAGTGACACTGGGTGTTAGGCCAGGAGCTCTGTCCATCATCTTGGCCAGTTGTAGATGCGAGAGGAGCATGTTACCCATATCCAGGGGAATAGAGAATGGCACCAGAGGTATTTTGCACCCCCTTTCTATTGGCAGATAACCAGATTCTAGATAACAAATTCCAGATTTGTTCAGTTCTCAACAAAAGGCCTTTGAACAAGTTCTGCAGATCAAGGGGAAAGGAACATTATCCTGAAAGTTCAGAGAAAAAAACACATCTCTGAAAATGTTTGCCAGTGGAAACCAGAAGCACATTTTAGAAAGTCTTTAGGATGCAAGAAGACATAGTCACCTTGAAACAGGAGCAGTAAGTTATAAGGACAGAAAGATGGTTATATGAAAACCCAGTAGTATGGGAGGAAAATTGTGGAGAAATTGGAAATGTAATTGTAGTGTTAAGACAGTTCATTTCTCTGGAAAATTGAATTGACTTGGAAAACTTTGGAAGCCCTCCTAAGATGCGGTGAGAGGAGGTAAAACTGAGAAAAGTTGATAGATCTGGAGAACAGAGGATAGAGGCCCTGTCTTTGAGTATGTAAATATTCCGAAGGAAGAAACAGAAGCATTGGAATAGAATAATTATTTTAAAAATAGAACTGAAAAGAAAAAGCATTCTTGGGTTGGAAAATTACAAAGATTAAAAGGGAAAATGAATGAACAGACACATGCTACCTAGACCTATCCTGGCAAAAGTTTGTATTCTGCATTGGTGTAGAGGTGGAACAGGTATAAAGAACAAAATTTTTCTTTAATGTTTATTTTTGAGAGAGGGAGAGAAAGAGAGAGAGACAGCATGCACATATGCAGGGAAGGGGCAGAGAGAGAGAGGGAGACAGAGAACCTGAAGTGGGTTCTGTGCTGACAGGAGAGAGCCAGATGCAGGTCTGGAACTCATGAACTGTGAGATCATGACCTGAGCTGAGGTCCAGACGCTTAACTGACAGACACCCAGGCCCCCTGGGTATAAATAACAATTTTAAAAGGAATGAAAACAAGGCTGGCGTTTATCCCTACAGTACCAAATGTGAAGGGCTGCAGTTGCCTGTAGAATTTTGGGGCAGGGGGGCCAATTGCTCTCCTACTTGACCCTGAATATTATATGTAACCAAGATAGACTTCATGTGGAAAGGCAGCAGAAAGATGTTCTTAGACATTCAGGTCTCAAAATATATGCTCTTTAAAAATTTACTCTGCAAAGACGTTTCCTCTAACTGAAGATGAATCACTGTTAGCTCTAAAAAGGTAGGTTGTAAAAGGATGGGTGGGCTTCTCCAAGACATAGCCCCCTAGTTCAATAGCAGAGTCCTGAGGAAAATCATTATCTTTACAAAGTATACCCAGTTGCAGGGGCTGCACTAATAAGCCTGTGAACCCAGTGAGGCTGTTATCCTCTGAATGAAACCAGAAAACAAACTCCTTCCTGAGAGTATATTTTGTTGTATTTTATGTATACTGAAGGTGAATATTATTTATAAAATACAAGATATGGCATTAAGATGGAGAGCTTTTTCAAAGTGAGTCCCTAATTCATTTTCTTGGTGTTCAGCACGTTTGATACATTTTTAGCTGATATAAGTATAGTCAAAACCCAGAGTTTCAGCTGTGTCTGAATGTTTTAACTAACAACAAGCAAAGGAACAGTCCTTCCTAGGTTCATGTAACCTGTTAGCATTTTCAGGAGAATGAAAATGAGAAGTGCTGAATTGAAAAGTAGCTTATGAGGAGGAAAACGTGGAATTAATTGGTAAATGAATCTGTGCACCAGCCATGTTTTGGCGGCCATCCAGCAAGCTCCTGGACTTTGGAGATAGACCGTCCTGGCTCTGACGTTTATTTGCTGTGTAATATTGGGCAACTTGCTCGCCCTCTCTAGGCCTCACTACTTCATTTGTAGTATGAGGTTGACATAGTTACCTTGTAGAGTTTTGCAGTATAAGATATGTAATAATGAATGTAAAGCACTCAGTACTTTGCCTGGCCTGTAGTAGAACTCAATAAAGGATATTACTTGATTCAATAATGAATTCTGTATTAATAATTTATGTTAATTATTTGAACTAGTTTATTATTAATACATAATTATTATAAAATTAATATAAAATTGTTGATGTAGAATTATTCTCTCACGAATACTTTTATACTATTAATAATTTTCTTATTAATAGTAATAATTATTATTAATTTTCATGAATTCCAGTCAGGTACCAAACCCCTTCTTGAGACACTTACAGCTTGGATATCTGCTGAGAGCTGTGTCTCCCTCTCTTGGATAAAACTTCACATAGAGAAAATATTAGATTTCATAGGCCACATTTATTTTTCCATTCAAAGTGAAAACAGATTCAAGTCCGATAAAATGTTATTTTTTATTTACTAGAGTATAATTAAGAGTCCTATAGAATTTAGATTACTAGTTAATAAGAAGACTGTCAGGGAAACCACTGTTCCCTGCTAAAATAATAATATTGGGCACATAGAAGAATTAGCACCTTAGAAGTAGCTTTTGAATCTTCGTTCTTTGCCTCTGAATTAAGTGTGGGAACATTTTTTAGTGAGAACCACTGTAGAGAAATATGATGTAGTATTACTGTTTTTACTCATGTAGAAATACTTTTGAGGTGTTTTCTGATTTCTGAGATGAGGAGATTTCCTCAGTATTACATGGTTATATTGTAGGCTTGCATACCCCCTTATTTGCAGGGTATTATTCATTGGAAAGCATTCTTCCTTTTTATAGCCTTCTCCCGTGGTCTCTTCCTCCTTTGGCTGTGAGAAACTACTTTAATTGCCCCAATTTGGGTTTGAATTTTTGAATGATGTATTAATTATTTGTAGGGTTAAAACATTTTTAGAAATATTCTAGGATGATTTTTTTTTTTAATGCAAACTATTTATAGATGAGAATCATGTGAGAACACGGAGTTCAGAACAGCTCCCGAAGCAAAGACAGTAGGCATTGCTGCGTAGAGGAGTTGCTGCCATTTTAGGAAAAGACAGGATTTCACACCTGCTATCTTTGTGGGTTTTGTCTAGTTACTTTTTCTGAAGATTAACAAAGGCTGAGTTTCTGTCTTGCTGACTAAACTTCAGAGGACCACAAGTAGAGTGGATATTAAAGGTAGGATCACTTTTTTCTTATAAAAATGAGGAGCAGAGGGGCACCTGCGTGACTTAGTCGCTTAAGCGTCCTACTTCGGCTCAGGTCATGATCTCACAGTTCGTGGGTTCGAGCCCCGCATCGGTTTCTGTGCTGACAGCTAGCTCAGAGCCTGGAGGCTGTTTCAGATTCTGTGTCTCCTTCTCCCTCTGACCCTCCCCTGCTCATGCGCTCTCTCAGAAATAAATAAAACATTAAAAATATATATATTTTTTTAATAAAAATGAGGAACAGAGCTTTTTCTCCTTGACTAGTAAAAAGCCTCATGGCAAAAAATTACAAAGAAATTTGAAGGTTTTGGAATAGAAAAATATGTAGGATTCTGACACCTTTTAACTTTTTGACCTTGTGAAATACAAAGGTGCTAAAGGAAACTTGTGTTTATTGGAAGATAGGAGCTTAGTTTTAATAAAATATCAAACATTCTATTTAGCTAAATTAATATTTTTTGAAGTTTTTTAAAATTTATTTTGAGAGACAGAGCAAGTAGGGGAGGGACAGAGAGAGAGGAAGACAGAATCCCAAGCAGGCTCTGTACCATCAGCACAGAGGTAGGGCTCAGACTCACCAACTGTGAGATCCTGACCTGAACTGAAATCAAGAGCCGGATGCTTAACTAACTGAGCCACCTAGGCACCCCATAAGTTAACATTTTATAGTTGACTAAATCATTATTAAAGTCTCACTAATCTGATTTTTTTCAGAGAAGGTCTCTGAGCTAGAAGTGAATGAAGTCTGCAGGACTGGACAACTTTGTCCTATAATTGGAAGAGGAAATAATTTGCTTCTACTTTCTGGCTAGCACTGGTTTTTGTGTGCTGTATCATAGTGTTTATGTGCAGACATGCCACGACAGTCCCACTTATGCTAACAGTTTCTTACATCTGATTAGATTTCCACAATGCAAGTTCTTCTGAGGAAATAAATAGAATTAGCAGATGCTATCCAGTATAATAGTTATTTCCAGATACCAGTAGATACTTTTATGTCATAAGCATGCTGTAAGACAAACTATTTTCTCTGTGAAGAAAATCCCTATCTCCCTTGGTCATAGTCTTAAAATCCTGGTGATATTTCTGTGACATCATTGCCATTCCTCAAATAAACTATATATAGAAAGCTTATAGACAAGTTTAATCCAAGCTCTTTCAAAAACCGTGAGTTGTCTTAAATGCTGTAGACAAAAATAGAAAATGTACAGTGACAGGAAGGCTTTAGGGTACCAGCACCTTTCTTGATCCAGCAGATTTCTTTGAGCTTGCACCCTTGGTTTAGAATACGGGGAGAGAACGGCATCCATGCAAAAAAGGATCAAGGAAGCACTGTTTTGTAGTATTTACAGGTGGCTGGAAATGAATGGGGAAAATAATTGATAGATTTTGTAATAAAGCAAACAGTTTTAGTTTTCTAATTGTAAATACTCAACAAAGTAGAACTTGTAGTACATGTAGAGTAGGGATCAGCAAACTTCCTCTGTAAAGAGCCAGATAGTAAATATTTTAGGGATTTGTGTGTGATATGTTCCATGTTCAGTTACTCAACCTTGAAGTTGTAGTGTGAAAGTAGCCATTGATGGTATGTAAATGAATAACTGTGGCTCTGTTCCAATAAAACTTTATGGACACTGAAATTTGAATTTTATATCATTCCCACATGTCACAAAATATTCTTCTTTTGGTTTCTTTTTTTACTGTAAAAACCATTCTTAGCTCACAGGTCATGCAAAAGTAGGTGGCAGGCTGTCATGTGCTGACTCCTAAATCTCAGTTAGTGATACTACTAACTAATAAAGTATATATAACATGAAAAGGGATAGAGTATCTGTTCCATGGCTTAATGGCTTTTTAAGCCCTCCTTATTGTGAAGAGGAGTTAAAATAATGTCAAATTTGCTCTATCTTTGAGGCCAGATGAGGATAATAAAGTGGTAATATGAGAGAATGTGAAGTAGGACTCAAGGGAGTTAGACCACTGATATTCCTAGGAATTTGCTAAAAATACAAAAGTAACAGCATTAAGTTCAGCAAGCACAGTTCCTTGAACTCAGAAGTAGGAAGAGGGCAGTATTCAGAGAGGATGGCCTCTGGTTTTACCCACGGTGTCCCTTGAACATTCTAAGTCCATCAGAATCCAATAGTATAGTTTTGTGACACATTTCTTATGACACCTGAGAAGTTCTCACTTATAAGTACAGAAGAAAATAAAATGAAAGAACGTTTAAATAAATTGAGTGCGTTTTATTGGCTCTTGCCACAGCAAATTTCTTGGATCTCTTCAGAAATAAATTTAAGTGAGGAAAGAGGACCACTACGTAATTTTATCAGCACTTTTAAGGATTTCATGTTGGCAGGATATTTGGACATGTTGCAGAAATACAGAATATTTTCACATTTTTGATCCAGAAATGTAGACTGGGATTTTGCCAACCCTGTTGCTTATGTAGTATGATAAGAATGTTTCTTCCTTGCCCTGGTTCCTTCTGTCTTTTAGAGTAGGTGAAAAAAATTGATGAGTTTGGAAGGAAACACTCCCAATCAAGGGAATAGCTAAAATTGTAAAGAATAGAGAAAATTGTCTTGAACTGGATCAAATTTAATGACGATTAGACCAAAGAAATTGTAGCATCAGAAGAGGCAGAATCAATTATTAGTAATAGCTCAGAAAATGAAGCAAATTGAACAGGATTCTACAGAGCACAAGTTTTATTTTACTGGGTTGGAATAGAGTTTGTAAGCTTTTAGTTTTAGCTTTCTGTTTTGTAAATGAATTTTGTTGTATCCACTTCATATCAGGAAGACATTAAATTTAGAAAACCTAAGTTGGGTCATACTGACTTTTTTTTTTCCTGTTCATGGAGTTTTGTTTGCCGCTTTGTATTTGTTGTTGGGGACAAAACTTGAGAGATGCCAGATGTCTTCAAGTTGGACAGCTTCATTTAAAACTGATAGTTGAAGTATTAAAAAAAAAAAATTGGTTGGTAAATTTGTGTTGTTTAATACATCCATCCAAGTTGAGATTACTTCTGTGAGCCTTAATAAATATTTTTAACAAGTTTATTTATTTTGAGAGAGTGAGCGGGGGAGGGGCAGAGAGCAAGGAGAGAGAGAATCCCAAGCAGGCTCCGTGCTGTCAGCACTGTCAGCACAGGGCCCGAGGCGGGGCTTGATCCCACGAACTGTGAGTTCATGACCTGAGCCAAAATCAAGAGTTGGACCCTTAACCAACCGAGCCACCCAGGTGCCCCACTAAATAGCTTTCTAGTGCTAACCTAACAAAGAAACTTTTGATATTTTTAAAGTACTTTGAAATAGGAGTAAAAGTTTTACAGGAAAAAAAAATTTCCCTGTATTTTGTTTTGCGGGAAAATAAGCTTTCTCCTATGGTTTAATTATGAAATATACATTTCTGATTGGCTAATGAGCTGGAGTGAAATTAGGCAAATGGGATGTTTTAATTTGAAAACCTAAAGAATGGACACTGCTTTGTTTTTGACAGAAGCTGATATGTCCTCTTGTGTTTGACTCTTTTTTTTTTTTTTTTTTTTTTTTTTAACCAGCAGTTTGTGTAGCAGCAGTGACACAGGGCTCTTCACCAACGATGAAGGACGGCAAGGTAATCTTGATCCCAGCTTTGGGGCTTTGGTTAGGTTTTTCTGGGAAGATTCTAATGATTATAGGAATAACTCACAGAGAATATGGTGGCTGTTTCAAATTTTAGGGCATATAAGAGTCATCTGGGGAACTGTTAAAACTGCAGATTAGGAGGTCCTAGGTATCAAATAGCTCTAGCTAGAGTTGGCCTCAGGAATCTGAATTTTTCTCAAGTACCTGCAGTGATTTTTATGCAGGTGGTTTAGACTTTGAGGATCATTGATTAGGGGGATATAGTGTCAAGGATGGGACTTTGAGACGTTGCTTTTAATGAGAACCAAAAAATATCCTTCTGTGTTAACTCCTTTATTGGATATTAAGATGTTCTTATTTTTACATAGGGAGAATTTATTTTTGTAACCTTGTTTATAAATGACCATAGTGTTCTAGATGAATATGTTATAGAAGACATCTTCTTTCTAACATTAAGACTTCTGAAGTTTAGTCTACGTAGAATACTGTGGATAAGACTGGTGTAATTTAATTACCAGTTCTTTATTTTTACAACCTAAACAGTAATTTGAGACCTTGTTTTTTTTGTTTTTTTGTTTTTTTTTTAATGTTTTATTTATTTCT